TAACCACCATTTATCTATAAGTATAAATAATATATCTAGTGAAGCATTATCACAATCGCCAGGGTTTGAAAATATTTCCAAATATATTATAGCTAAAGGTAATGAATATGATAAGCATCTTAATTACACCAAGCTCGACTTACAATTAAAACAAGAATTTAAAAGATTAATAAATGGCAAGGTTGTTTTCTTGGAACATACATATTTGAATAATAGATTTTCAAGAGTATTTAGTAATTACCGTGATAAATTCACAATTGTTGAAAATAAATATTTCTTAGAATACTCATTTAATATAGTTAAAAATGGACAAATTTATAGCATGCTACTAATTAACATGTAAGCTAAAAGTGTACGTTAGAGTAAATTTTAATTTTTAATTTAAATATGTTTAATTTAGATTTAAACGAATTCGTGAGGGTGGTATAAATAATCATCATTTGGTACTGGATCAAATTCTTACAAATTATGTCGTTAATAAAATATTTAATACAAGTTTTAATTTACTTGAAGATAGTGATGACAACAACAATAATTATTTTATTAAACAAATAAACATTAAAGACTTATTTAGAAATGCATGTAGTATTTTGTTAATGAATGAATTTATTTCAATTATAATATTTTTAATTGAATGTAGCATTTTTATATTTAAACACTAATGTTCTGTATATCTATTAAAATCAATAATTAATTTATTATTATAAAATTTCTTTAAGACTTATATTTTAAAACGCTTAAAAATAAAAATAAAAATAATTGGTCAGTAAATGATTATAATTTTTTTTAACTACAATATAATGTTTAATAATATTGACACATGCTAATGATACTTAGGGCAACACTTAAACTAAATGATTATTACGACAATACCCCTATCTGATTAAAGCAATTGAGGAAAGGTACATTTTTACGTAACATTTAATTTTTAATTTTGATATTTTAAATCGTTATTAACCTTGTCATAGTCTTATAATTTGCATTTATCTTAATGCATAATGTAATACACTACAATTGGACTGTGGTTTGTTAAATAAACCTAAGTAAAAATATTAGCAAACTGTAACTCTAGCACAAACACATATAAATATATACTGTTTAGTACAATGTTTTGAAACATAAACAACAAAAGTCACATTTATTTATTGTGTTTAATTAAAATTATTTTAAAATTTAATTTTTATATTTGTAAATAATGTTTTCATTTTAAAAATTATTATAATTTGTGTTTCGATAAATATATCATTAAAATATGTACAAATTAATGCTTTCAAACACATAGGTTTATTATGCAGCCGGTAGTCCAATTGTTAACAAAATATATTTGATATAAAAATAATTTTGAAATATTTTGTAAACTATTTAATGTTGTAAATTGTATGCAATAAAAATAATTGCCAATTTAAATAAACCTCAATTTGTCTTTGAGATATTCATTAAAATAATTTTCAATTTTCTTATGGCATCAATTTATGAGCAAGTAAAATTCTAAACACATAAACACAATTATGCATAATTAGTATCAAAATTATTTTTTGATGCCATTATTATTATATTGTATACAATACACTTGACCCGTAAATGTGGGATGTTTTTTATTTAAGTTTGTGTTTTATATTAACTAATAAATTTATTTAGATATAAAAGTGCCAAAAAAAGTTATGCTGCATAAATACAATTTAAAGGTTAAATTTTTAAAATACATAATTGTCAAAACTGATTATAAAAATGTTTTATTTATAATTTATTACCATTTATTTATGATATATATCATAATCATAATAATGTCACTTAAACACAATTTATATGCACACAATGATACTACATAAAAATTAGTATACCTAGTAATAATAAATATAAAAATATTATAAAATAAAAATATTAAATATAATAAGATAAAATAATTGTCGAAATAATAAATTAAAAAATATTTGCTGGCTTATTAGATGCCGGTGCTGATCCTGGTGTAGTCGGGGTGGTTGGTTCAGGTATTGTGGCGGGTGGTGGGGGTGTATTACATTGTTGATAATCTTTACACGTGACATCTGTTTTTAATTTTGTTAATTGTATGCCAGTTACATACTCCCTAAATTCAGCCTCCGTACATTCATCCTGGTCATAATTTAATAATAAATTATAAAATAGAAATTATCTAAATTAGTATACTCACATGTTTTGCATCAAGACCACAATAATAGGCAATATATGCGTGACAACATGTAAATGGACTTGGTAAAGTTTCATTATAAGGAATGTCCTTTCTCATTTTATCGGTCAAACATTCAAAAACTTCTAAACCTATCTCGGCCATACACTCAGTGCTATTACAATTGACTGAGTGAACTAATAATATAAGTACCAGTATCAACTTCATTTATAATTTTGTATATTTATTAATATTTTACATTAAATACATTATTTTGGCCATTTAATATTACTGTAATATATTGCCTTTCCTATTAGTAATAAATCTTGTGATTATTAAACTGGGATATTCATGGCAACCGATTAATATTTACCTTAACCTTATCACAATAGCTAAATTCTTTCAATACTATTTGATAATAATGTATTAGAAAAATAAGTTATATTATTATTTACTTAATATAATGTTTAATATAATTATAAAATTTAAATTACCATAGTCATATAAACGCATTATATTATAATTTTTGTCAAATAGTGAATTATTTAGTTTTAAATATTTTTTAATTGAAGATTTTTTAATTCGAATTTATTTAATATTTAATTTAGAATATAAAATACTTATAGTTTAAATTAATTATATTTTCTATACATGTATTTAATTTAATTAATTAAATAAACATTAATTAATAGTAACAAAACAATAAATATGATACTATTCAAATTATTAGCTGGTGTCCAAATAGGCATGGCCAAGTCCGTTACTGGTTCATATTTCTGAGTAGTTGTATCAGGGTCTTTTGTATTACACCATTGAAAGTCCTTGAACATTTTGTCACTTTGAGATTTTCCGGCTTTTATAGTATTTACGTAATCGTCGTACTCTTTCGTCTCGCATTTGTCCTATAAATTAACATTTTATTTATAACATTAAAAAATAACATGGTCAAAATAATTACGTGTTTGGTCTCCAACATACAGAAATAAGTCAAATAGATATTGCAACAGGTATATTCACCAGGCATTGCGGGGTCCGTAGGAATGTCCTTGGGCATTTTATTAAGCACACACTTACCCGCGTCCGTTACGATCTCCTGGACACAGTCCTGGCTAAAGCCATATACAGTAGGAAATAAGAACGAAATTACCAGAATCAATTTCATTTTTATAACTTGATACTATAGTCCAGAGGCGCACAGATATGACCGTTTGCGGTCAACTAGCGATGTATGCATTTAACAGTTTAATACTATATTTACAACACTAGTATTTTATGAATCAGAAATTAGACATTAATATTAATATTAACTTTTCAATATACTAATTTTATTAGTCATAGCAAGGTATAACTTGGATTATTCATTTCATTTGGTAAAAGGTGGACAAATATTTTCAAATACATTTATTAATTTGTAAGTTAAATAAAAATAAATAGTTTTACATTAAAGATATTTTATTTTAAGATATAAACGCATATATGAAAGTGGACTGAATTATTATCATAAAATGATCAGCATCATATTTACTAATAAAGTGAACCTACAGTCAAATATTCACAATAAAAATAATTTATTACTACATTCATTTAATGACCATAAATTATATACTACATTATCTACAATGGATATATGTGTGGGATGTTTTTCATTTAAGTTTGTGTTTTATATTAACTAATAAATTTATTTAGATACAAAAATGTCAAAAAAGATTATGCTACATAAATACAATTTAAATGTTAGATGTTTTAAATACATAATTGTAGAAACTGATTATAAAAATGTTTTATTTATAATTTATTGCCATTTATTTATGATAAATATTTTAATCATAATAATGTCATTAAACGCAATTTATATGCATATCAAAAATTACAATTGTTTTAACCATATATTTTATGCACACATTGATACTACATAAAAAATTAGTATAACTAGTAATAATAAATATATAAATATTATACAATAAAAATATTAAATATAATAAGTTAAAACAAGTATCGAAATAATAAAACTGCAAATATTTGCTGGCTTATTAGATCCATGTGCTGATCCTGGTGTAGTCGGGCTGGTTGGTTCAGGTGTAGTGGTGGGTGGTGGGGGTGTATTACATTGTTGATAATCTTTACACGTGACATCTGTTTTTAATTTTGTTAATTGTATGCCGTTTACATACTCCCTAAATTCAGCCTCCGTACAATCATCCTGGTTATAATTAAATAATAACTTATGAAATAGAAATAATCTAGATTAATTTACTTACGTGTTTTGCATCGAGACCACAATAATAGGCAATATATACGTGACAACATGTAAATGGACTTGGTAGAGTTTCATTATAAGGAATGTCCTTTCTCATTTTATCGGTCGAACATTCCAAAACTTCTAAACCTATCTCGGCCATACACTCAATGATATTACAATTGACTAAATGAACTAATAATATAAGTACCAGTATCACTTTCATTTATAATTTTGTATACTTATTAATATTTTACATTAAATACATTATTTTGGCCATTTAATATTACTGTAATATATTGCCTTTCCTATTAGTAATAAATCTTGTGATTATTAAACTGGGATATTCATGGCAACCGATTAATATTTACCTTAACCTTATCACAATAGCTAAATACTTTCAATACTATTTGATAATAATGTATTAGAAAAATAAGTTTTATTATAATGTTTAATTTAATTATAAATTTTTAATTACCATAGTCATATAAACGGATTATATTATAATTTTTGTCAAATATCAAATAGTAAATTATTTAGTTTTAAATAATTTTTAACTGAAGGTTTTATTAATTCAAATTCATTTAATATTTAATTTATAAATAAAATAGTTGTACTTTAAATTAACTATATTTTCAAATACAAGTATTTAATTTAATTTAATAAATAAACATTAATTAATAGTGACAAAACAATAAATATACTATTCAAATTATTAGCTGGTTTCCAAATAGGGATGGCCATGTTAGGTGCAGGGTCTTTAGTATTACACCGTTGAAAGTCCTTACACACTTTGTCACTTTCGGATTTCGCGACTTTTATACTATTCATGTATTCGTCGTACTCTTTAGTCTCACATTTATCCTATAAATTAACATTTTATTAATAATATAAAACTTTAAAATAACATGGTCAAATTAATTACGTGTTTAGCCTCCAACACACAGAAAAAAGTCAAATATATATCGCAACAGGTATATTCACCAGGCACTGCGGTGTCCGTAGGAATGTCCTTGGGCATTTTATTTTGCACACAAATAGCCGCGTCAGTTACGATCTCCTGTTTACAGTCTTCACTATAACTATATACGATAGGAATTAAGAGCAAATTTACCAGAATCAATTTCATTTTTATAACTTAATACTATATATATCAGTCTTTTTTGGAAATATGGATTGATGTATAAATGTAAATTTTATTATTTCAATAAGGTGGCTTATATACGAAAATTTAAATGTCAAAATTCATGGTAACTTAGGAATCAGGATAAAAAATGTAGAAGTTACTGCTTACCTTTGCCATAAAATAAGCACAATGAAATAGTAAGTGTACAAATAATCTTAATTTATAATACCTTAATATCTGTGTTTGTTTTATTTATCTTAAATCTTGAGTGGACAAAATATAAATCATGAATTTTGTGAACTTAATTAAAATTATTGTATAATTTAACATAAAATGCAATTTATATAACATTACATATAACGAAAATTGAGTATAAAGCTAATTTACAAAATAAGAAATATAAGCTTTTAAATAGTTATATTAATTAACTTAAATAATACTCAACTCAACGGTTAAAATGATTTAGCGAATTTTATCATATTCCATTAACTGTCATACAGTATTGGAGATATGCATAGTGATATCATGTTTAAATCATTTCATTCCAATGTATCAAGGTCCACTTCTATTCATTATTCAAATACTAACGACTGTACTACGGTAAAGCATTATCCAGTTAAATTATAATTTGTGATTAAAATAGTTGTTTGGACCATGTAGAATATACCCTGTTAATTTTTCGCGCTAACGAAAGGTTTTACTATTTTAAAATTAATATTAAAAGTTATCACATAGGCTTTAATCAGCCCTTTGAAAGCATAGAGATTTCTATTGCGTATAAAGTTACAGTCGTTATGTGTTAATGAATAGGCTTTAGTAATGGTTAGTAAATTACTTTTAAATTTATTTAAAAATAGTAAAACCTTTCGTTAGCGCGAAAAATTAACAAGGTATATTCTACAAGGTCCAAACAACTATTTTAATCACAAATTATAATTTGACTGGATAATGCTTTGCCGTAGTACAGTCGTAAGAATTATTTCCGTAAAATGTGGCGACAAATATAATGAATGTCAAAAAATATTTGATTTTATAATAATAATATTACAATTATAATATTATGTTAATAAATAAACATCTAAATATTTTACAAATGGTTTAGTATTGGAAAAGTGGTTTAATTACTTTATCATTAAAACATATAATATTAGCATCTATTCTGTTAATAGTTGTATATAAACTTAAAATATTTTATTATAATAACTTAAAATTGAATATTTTTGAATGAATTTTCAAAAAAAATCTATTTCATAATAAAGCATTTTTTGAAATCTTGGTTAAAATTATGAAATTTAAAAAATATTATACGGTATAAACTACAAATATCTTTTTTAAAATAAATTTAACAATAAGTGTTATGCTTCAAAATAAATTCTAATTTTTATAATTCATATCAATTATACAATATTAATTTATGTTCGTGGTCAATTTTCCATTAGTGGGAGAGGTGTAAGTCGGGTGACTCGCAATTTTTGGTGTAGAAGCCGTGGGGTCCGTCGTCAGTCAATATACATTCATAGGGCGGGGCACAGGCGCACCGGGACTTATAAAACTGTAAAATTAATTATGCAAAATTTTAAATTAATCTACAATTATTAAAATTAAAGTATTTAATTATGATTAATAGTTAAAAAATATTGTTAAGTAATTATTATTATTAATTAGTTGTTACTGTATAATAAATGGGGTAGTTACCTTGCCCTGACAATAAGCTCCCTTTGGTAGGACATCGGTGCAAATACCTTGCTCACCCGACATATCCTTATAACAGCAATCTATGTCCCCACAGTCGGTGTCATTGAAACAGAATCGGCAGTCAATACTAACTACCAGTGCGCTCAATACCAGCGCCAATACAAATACTGAAGCTTTCATTGTAAGTGAATTTGAATTTTGAAAACACAATTTTAATTATTTTGTTTAGTAAGTTTGCTAGTTTATATACTATTCACTTAATGTGATATAACCGACTGTGTGGTTATACTGTACCACACGCTTAAAGTTAGCATTTAGTGGGGGTTTTAAACAATAAGTATATATATCAGCTGTAAATGGTACTTGAAATATAATTATAAGTGGTAATTCGTTTGATTAAATATCATAATTAACAATTATTGTATAAAATAAATTTTAATTCATATATTAACTAGTTCACATCGTCATTAACTATATACAATACAATACAAGCTATATCTCATTAAGAATGATAATCATTATTAAAAATTTAAAAGCAGTCATTAGCCATATAATGTAAAAATATTTCACGTATAATAATTTATAACAAATTATATTTATTATAACTGCAAAGTTTTATTTTATTTATAAATTACATTGAGACAAATTAATTAATTTAATCTTTGATATCACCATGGACAGATCCACAGAACAAATCACCGGCATCACCGACAAGTCTAGCCTTAACATCAGCCTCGATGGTAGGGGTCGCCGCAGGGATTGTCAGTTTGTACGAGAACTTCTTGGACTCACCCTTTTTGATGGGACAAGGAGTGTCGTGACAGCCATCCTTGTCAAAGCCTGGGATCAAAGTAGACAAGTCTATGTCAGTACTTCCCACAATAGCGTGAAGACTCCATTCAGCTTTTGAACTATCCTGGTCTGTTTAAAAATTAGTTAATTTTTAATATGCTTGATAATATTGAGTTATCACACTCATATAAATAATTAACTCACTGGCTTTATAGTCAATGTCAATCTGAACCTCCTTTCCCTTATGGAGTGTACAAGGAGTGGTTGAACAACCGCTGATTGACACACTGCTCACCTCGGAGTGTCCTAGTTAACATTTTCATAATTATTAATTTCGTAAATAAATGTAATTTAAAATTTATGTGAACCTACCACAATCCTTGTATGGGAGTCCAGCTGATACAGCGGCAATGAAAAGTGTCAAGCACACTATTTTCAACATTTTACAAAAATTAAATTTAGCAAGTAATTAAGTTACTACTAATTCTTGTTTGATTATAGTTAAAAATTAGGTGGACTATTTATACTAATAATTTAATGTGAATTATGACATGTTTTAGTACTTTTGATATTAAATATTGCTGAATTAACGGTAATTCTTATAAACATCCCAGATGTATTTTGCTGAATAAATAAAATTTATGATAAAATAACCAGGGAAATCACTAATTGAAAATATATTGTATAATTTGAATTTATAAAATAGTTTCTATAGGATATACCCAAAATGGTATGGGTTAATATGAAACTATATAGTATATACCTACAGGTGTAGTTGTTTAATTTAAAAATCCTTTTTAAATATCAATGTGAACAATTATCACAGTTAGATAATTAACACAGCTAACTTAAGTATTTTATATAAAAATTAATAGCAATTATTAAATGATCAATCTCTACAGGAAAATTCCTTCATTTTGATATCTCATTATACTCATGTTACTATGAATTAAAATGAATTAAAAATGCTCTATTTTAAGTGGTGGTCACTAAAATTAAAAACACCCATTAATAAAACAATTAATTTCTATGGATTACAAATTACTGTTTTAATTTAGCAATTATTGTTAATGCTACATACCAGGATAATATGACTGGCTGATAAGCACTAGTTTTATAATAGATATGTTTTAATTGCATTGTCGTGGTCATTAAACTAAAATATATAATTGACATAAAAAATTAAAGATGCATTATTTTTTATTTTTATAATTTTAAATCATATGGTAGTAAATTAAATTAAACAATTGAATTAGATGAAAAAAATTTAGTCCTTGATGCCTCTTAGGTAAGAGTAAAAATTTTTGTTCGCAAATAATACCGAGGACTAGTTTTCCCAAATCAAAAAATCAAATTCCTTGAGAATCCATATTTTTAACTCGAAAATATCCTTAAGTTCCTTTATTTTTTTAAAATTGATCATAAATTCCTTGAGATCCATTGAAATGGTCATATTTTTTGAAAATATTTCCTTGAGCATATGACCGATTCCTTGAAAGTCCTGCTTGAACCTTGAGATTTGGGAACCCTACCGAGGACAATGATCGGAAGGAAATTGTCACAAATTGTGAGTTAAACAAATAAATTTTATTCTTGTTGTATTTAATTATTACAATAAAAATTTATCGTATGCATTACTGATTAGTAATAATGGATAAGTTTATTCATTTTAACTCATTTTATGCCTCAATGTTACCATCAACTGAACCGCAGAACAGATCACCATGCTCACCCTTCAACTCGGCTTTAACGTAACCTTTAGCCTAATGATAATCGTAAGATTAATTAATTTATAATAAATAAAACATGATTTCCTTATAACATTATTAAAAAAAATTAGCAACTTACATCGGGAGTCAGACTGGGAATGGTGAATTTAAATTCAAAAGTGGCATTGCTACCCTTTGTGATGGGACACTTGGTAGAGTGGCACCCATTAGTATCAAAGTCCGGGATCAGTTTGGATAAGTCGTAGTCCTTGCCGCCAACATTGCCAATCATGTTGAAATCCAATTTCGAGGTGTCTTGGTCTATTTTAAAACAAATGTTACCATATTATAATATCTATCATATATCATTGAAATGTATTATGAATTATATTCGGGCTTTATATTTATTTTAATGTTATAGTATACTGGTTTATAAAATTAACTAATATTACTTTATTTAATAAAACCATAGATTTATAAGAATAATTTAACATTATTTTAAATCTTACTGGCTAAAAAGTCAACTGTCAGGGTTAGTTGCTTTCCCTTGTGTACAGTACAGGGAGCGGTTGTGCACCCACTGATGGCAACACTTTTAACCTCCTTTGCGGCTATTATTATGAATAAAAATTAAATATATTTATTAATTCTTTTACTGTAAAAGTTTACCGCAGTCTTTGTAGGGTATGCCGGCTGACACCACCGCTACCGTTATGGCTAAGCACACGAATCGCAACATTATTACTGTTTTATTAATTATTTCCTTTTAATATATTTAATATATTGTTAGGGTTTGTACTGATTTTTGTTGAGCATTTCACCTCCTTTTATATGATTTTAATTTGTGGATCATATCCGATTAAAGTATGGGTATTCACAAAAATCATTTACACCCAAGGTTAGTTTTCAACATAAATGTTTAAAGAGTTATATTAAAGTATATTATATCGCCTTTGAGAATGTACCAAATTGATTTCAAATCGGATTAATATGCTTATCTAATACCTGTATAATGTACAAAACATATTCTAAAACATAACCAAGTTAGAATTGTTATATTATTTTGAATATTGATGTAAAATAAAAATTAATTGCTTAAATTAAAACCACATTTAAAAATAAAAATTTTACATTTAAATATTTATATTTTCAATTTGTTAATTACATTATCTAATATTATATATTCAAAAAATATTTATTGTGTAACCTACATCATAGATATTGTTTAAGCTATCATAATTAGGCCATAGATACCACAATTCAAACTTAAATTAATATTAATATATATAGTATAGTAAACTTGAACAAAATGTCCTAAAGACTTTTACATATAACAAAACTATTGATTAAAAATAATGTTTACTTGTCAGTATTTTTTAATTCATATTAAAAGTACTTATAAAATTTAATCAATTAATACAAAAATTTTTGCAATTAAAATGATCAGAAATACTAAATGATTATTAATTTGTCTATTACATTAATTTTTTAAAAACATTCTTTTTGTAAAAAAAATTAAAATCTAAATTTCATTAGAGTTATCTTAGTCTCCAAACAAATAAATACACTATGCTGTACTTTATTCATTTAAATTTAACTAGATGAATATTTAATTATTTTATTTAAATGTATTTTGGAACATACTATACATCTATTTCAAGAGGAAAATGGTTATTACTTAATTATGTACTCCAAGAGATTATCGACAAATATCTAATCAAACATTGCATGTGTCCAATAATTTTGTTATTAAGAATTGTTTGATGTATTGTTTATTAAATCATAATAGTAATAGTAATGTAATATTGAGAATACAAATGTATTATTATTAAAATTATGTATACTTTGACAAATGATAAAATAGGAATAAATTATTCCGAATAATATTTTATTTTATTATTTAACTAATAACATAATGTATTTGTATACTAGTAGCACTCAATAATGATCTAGTGGAAAAGTAATAAATTACTCTAAATAAAAAATTTTATTTAATTTAAAATGTTATACTGTCGGTATAAATATATCGAAATCTAATTAATATACATTTTACTATTGTAAATTATAGTTTCTTATTAGGAAAATCTAGGGGCAAAAGAAAATTGAGTGCTTATGATTTCCATGAATAGTTAGCCAGTCACATAATTAATATTTTGAATTGATTAAACTAGGCGAATCAAGTAAGTTAGTTTGTTAAATTCACTTTCAACCATCGATGACATCCTCGTTTTGTCATTGAAATAACATAAGTTCTATGGACTGTACATGAATATTATGAGTATTATGAATGTCAACTACAGGTCAAACTTACCCCTGAATTTCATTCCCTCCCCTTTCCCTTAATTTTTGCTTAAAGGGATTCCCTTTCCCATCCCGGCTTACATGTCTGGAATCCCTTCCCTTCCCTTAAATTCCCTTAAAAATTTTGGTATAAAATTACAGCTAAAATGAGCATTTTATCTCACATTAATGCATATGAAATAAAGTTTTTATCGAGTTATTACAATTAATATTCTTTGTATTATTTAAACTCATTTTTACCACAATTATATATAATTCAATGCTTTCACTTCTAATATTAATAAAAAGATTGTTTTTGTTATAGTTATATATTTTTTATTCATTATTAAATGATTCAACCTCTTAGCATATTAAACAAATTAATAAAATAATTATGTGACATTTAAGGGAAAAAGGGAGTTTGGTATAACGGAATCCATTACATTCAAAAAGGGAATCCCTTTCCCTTCCCGTATATGATTTCTGACTCCTTCCCATTCCCTTAAGGGAACATGATTACCGATATACAGTATTAACAAAATATACTAGTAAATTCAATTATATACAGTTAATTCTGATGTTATTTTAATGACGAAATGAGTATGTCAGCAATGGTTGAACGTGAATTCAGCAAGCTAATTTACTAAATTCGTCAAGTTTAGTCAATTCAAAATGTTAATTTTGTGACTGGCTAACAATTCATGACAATCATAAGCACTCAATTTGCTTTTGTCCCTCGATGTTTCCTACTTAAACATTTTTACATATTAATGTAGATACAATGAATGCATTAATTTTGCAATCGTATCATTTTTATAAGAAAATTCGTAAATAAAATATTAGTACTATTAAATTACAATTAACTTATATCACTATCACCTTTGTAAACTTAACCTTTATAAAAATATACAGTTGTTTTGAATTATCAGAAACTTATCTAGTATCAAAAATTTTATCACAAAATTAAACAATACCTTTTGTAAATTATCCGGAACCTATAAATTCAATAACATATTTTATCCGGTTCATCTATATCCATGTAAAACATATTTCGAAATTCATACGCAGAAATATACCTGATTTTGAGGTATAAATACGGGAGCGAACACTACTGGAAATCACCTTACAACTTATTTTTAAGTAAAATTAGAAATAATTTTAGTAAAAATAATCAAAATGTTGAAGATTGTGTGCTTGGCCCTTTTCATCGCCGCTGTCTCAGCCGGCATCCCCTACAAGGACTGCGGTATGTTTTATTTAGTAAAGGTGCCTAAATATATTATTACAATAATCAATTTGATTGCAACTAGGACACGCCGAGGTGAGCAACGTTGCCATCACCGGCTGCACCACCAGCCCCTGCACCCTCCACAAGGGAAAGCAGGTCACGATCGACATTGACTTCACCGCCAGTGAGTAGTTTTATATTAATATTAGACAACCACCATTAAATATAAATATAGTTAAATTATTTGGCAAACATAAAAACTTGATCAACGTAATTACTAGAAATTTAAAATGACTAAACAAGTTTGACCCGTAATGTTACCGTAACCCAATATTCTAATATATACTGAATAACCAATTGATATTTATTAACATACTAGTGGCTAATACTAATCTAGCTTAGTCTCATTTAATAAGTAACTTCATAATTAAACTACAAAAAATTATAAACATTATTTTAAAAATTATCACTGACCATGTTACACTTTGTTGCCTAATTAGACCAGGACACTGACAAAGCCGAGTTTAGCCTACACGCCATTGTGGGCGGTCTCGACCTGGACTTGTCTACCCTGATCCCCGACTTCGACAAGGTTAAGGACGGCTGCAAAGACACCTCCTGTCCCATCAAAAAGGGTGAAACAAAGAAGTTCTCGGCTACGATCACTATCCCCGGCGCCACCCCTACCATCGAGGCTGACGTTAAGGCGAGACTCATCGGCTCGACTGGAGACCTGTTCTGTGGTTCCGTCCACGGAGACATCAAGGACTAAATTATCTTATCTAAGTCAATTATTTTATTTTATTTAATACCACACAATTTATTTTCAACATATGGAAATAAAATAATTCAATTATAATTTGTTTTGTTTGTAATTATTTTTTGCATTAGTGAGCAAAACTCACTTTTGATATATTTGGTAATTTTAGGATTTTACCATTATGCCTAATAATAGTGATAATGCGGTTAAGTATTAATATTTGTACTAGGTTAATAACTGTTGTTTTGATTTTTTAATTTTCAAGAAATATAATTTATAATTATCTGAACTGAACAACTCTGATATATCCAACAATCATATTGTTTAATAAATTATTGTGTCAAGTAACTTACTTGTTAGAATGCTTAACAATTTAAATTATTATTATATAACACTACATCCTAATATTGAATGTGCTCCATTGCAAATTATATTTGAATATAGTTTGTGTTAACTAAGTAAGAACAGGGTATTGCTGAACTGGCCCCTATTTCGTGGCCCTTAGCCCATTGGCCCACTATTACAGGGAAGCCTACCTAACCTAACCTATCATACTTAACAGGCATTGCAGTGAAGCCAACCCAGTCTTGCAG